CGCCCCGCTGTACATCATAACGGCAGAAATAATGGCCACATACATCCGCGCAAATCAAGATATTCACGGCCTCTTACCACCCGGCTCAAAAGAGGAAATTAAGCTCTCTCAATATGCGGATGATCCTCGCTCTTGCTTACGGACGAGGAATCCGTCCGACACGCTTTCCTCGCATTGCAACTCTATGAAAAAGCCTCCGGCGCTCGGGTCAACAATTTTAAATGTAAAGGACTTTAGGCAGGCGCCCTAGAACATCGCATCAAGCAACCATTCGGCTTTGAATGGTACAATGACTATATACCCGACAAAATCCTCAGCCTCTATTTTGGCAGTGTTGACTGTACTCAGCTTAACCTTACACCGCGCCTAAAGAAAATCACAGATACTATCAAAACATGGTCCTCACGAAACCTCAGCTTTAAGGGCAAAACCCTTGTGATAAACGGCCTGCTTACCTCAGTGCTCTGGTACCAGGCCACCGCCCTCCCCATTCCGTCCTGGGCTATTCGCGATATCGAACAGGAGATATATCGCTTTTTCTGGTCGAACAAAATGCACCTGGTTAAACGAGAGACACTGGCGACCCCACGCGATCAAGGAGGATTTAACATCCACCGTTTAGGCCCCAAAATTACCGCCCTACGCTTGTCCACTCTTTGGTGCTATCTAGATCCCGACCAGGCGGCATGGAAGCATTTCATAACATATTACCTGCGCACCGCAAACCAAAATCTCGGTGCCCTTACACTCTCTACAACCTATCAATCCCAACACATCTACCGCTCTATCCCACAATTCCACCGCGACCTCCTACTCGCCTGGAACAAACTACACCCTCACCTACCGACCCAAATAGCAAACAATCTCCCTACTGTCTTAGCCCAACCACTCTTCCTCAATCCACGCATACAATGCGCAGGGCGACCACTCTTGTTTCCCCACTGGATTAAGAGTAGAGTTACGCAACTGAGCGATCTATGTCACGAAATTATACCAGGACTCCTACCCACCCAGGCGCTCTACGATATGATCCCCGATTTTCCCCCGAGCAAACTCGCCGGCGAACTCAACACCTTACTACAGGCCCTCCCAGACGACTGGCGACGCCTTGTTGCCTCCACTACCACTCCCCCCACCCCGCCTACCCCAGCAGAATTCACCATCTCTTCCTCAGCTACTCCACTTGCGAATATCCCCACCCGGGGTTTCTGCAAAATACTTATGGCGTCTCAGCAGCCCACCATCCCCAGCCTACAATATTGAGAGTGCACCCTTAACCCCGCTCCTAAATTCACCTCCGCGTTTTGGAAATCACTTTACACTCCCCTGCTTCCCAATCATTTCGGCGATATTACGTGGAAAATCGTTGACAGGGTCCTCCCATACGCTCTGTCCCTCTTCTCAATAGGCGTCTACCCCACGATGGACTGCCCGCACTGCAATGGCACCGAAACGCTCGATCACCTTCTCCTCCATTGCCTGCTCTTAAACCCTTCTGGGTGACCATACAAAAATACGTCACCGACATATCCAACGACAACATAACCCTGACACACCCTATAGCCCTTTTTGATGTCCCATTAACGAAGGCTAACGCCCACTGGCGCAGCGAAATCAGCCTAATTAATTTCATCCTAAATGTAGCGCGCCACGCTATACATAAATCGGCAGTAGAACTCCGTTTAAACGATATTCACATTTCCCCACAGTCTGTTCTTAATGCTAAAGTTAAACACTTTAAATTATTCAAAAAGATTTTCAAGTAGAACAATACACAGGTCTCAGCTACTATTTCCCTCTGAAATAGTGCATTAACGATACTATTGTAAGCCTAGTAAATGAACGACTCCATTTTCACCTATAGAGACCTATTGGAATACGAAATTCTGGCTAGTATATGCCAACAACCAGGTTAATACAAGGTAACGAGTCCCACCATATATACGCCGTAATATCAAACCTTTTCTTATGTTATCACTAGTTAGCCTCAATAAATGTAACACTGCAATAAGTAGAAAACCTGTAATAGTTAAGAAATCTCAACCTTGTCTCCTTGTAAATAGAATAGCTTAGAAACGGCTCACATTGAGCTATTTTAGTAGAAAAAAAAAAAAAAATCCCACCTGACTAGTAACAGGAGGGACGTGGGTTCAAATCCCGCTCAGGGCAAACTTTCTTTTCAAACATTTATTCTATTTATATATATATATATATATATATATATATAAATGTGATATGCGAAATGTTGTAATATATATACGAAATGTTATATATATATATGCGAAAAAATCACTGCTGTACCACCAGAACACACCATAGGCAAAGAAGAGCACCACCGACATGCTCGACGTGACGATGGGCTCGTATGATGGAGCCGTGACATGCGAACTAATCGGAGCCTATATGTTATCCCTGATTGCGGCAAAGTTTAAAGATCGTTTGAGTCTTTACAGTGACGATGAGCTAGCAGTATGCAGAGCTACACCTAAAGAAATTGAAAAAACAAAACAAGAAGCTTGCAAAATTTTCAAGTCTAATGGCCTGAAGATCACCATCAAAGCTAATAAGAAAGCAATCAATTTTTTAGATGTAACCTTCGACCTCGCAAATGAATCTTACAACCCATTCATGAAACCGAACAACAAACTCCTCTATGTTCTCAGTCAAAGTAACCACCCACCTGTACTGCTAAAGAACATCCCGGAAAATATAAACAAGCGATTAACCAGGATATCATCAAGCAAAGAAGTTTTCGATAACGCCAGCCCTCCTTACCAAAAAGCCCTCTACGAAAGTGGCTACGACTATAAGCTTACATATGATCCACAGCCAGCCCAAAAGCGCAACAAAAATCGTAAAATAAAAGTGATATCGAATAATCCACTATGGAACTCCAACGTGAAGACCAATCTGGGAAGAAAGTTCTTAAATATTGTTGACAGATGCTTCCCGAAAAACCATCCACTACACAAGATCTTCAATCGCCACACACTAAGGATAAGCTACTCCTGCATGCCTAACGTCAAAACAATCATCGCGTCACTCAACAGAAAGCTACTATCAGATTACAACCAGTCACAAAATTCACGACTAACACTAGACAAAGAACGTAACTGCCGGAAAAAAGACCGATGCGCCCTAGAGGGAAAATGCCTCACATCAAACGTAGTCTACCAAGCAACAGTCACAACTGAAACGTCAACAGATCCATTCGTGGAACTCGCGACAAACTTTAAAGAACGGTACAGAAACCACACAGCTTCCTTCCGACACCAAAATCAGAGACACGAGACTGAATTATCTAAACACATATGGACACTGAAGGACAATAACAAATCTTTAAACCTAACGTGGAAAACCATCAAACAATGCAAACCGTACAACAACATTACTAAGAAATGTAATTTATGTCTTTTTGAAAAATTCACGATCATATGTAAAATAGAAACAGATACCTCCTTGAAAACCTCATAATAAAGTAACAATCTCCGAAATTATACATACCAGTCACATGACTTATATATATATATGGAAAAGTAGCGTTGTTTTTATATCTCCTAGCAACCGTATTCCAGCTTTTATAGCCAGTCATTGTAAGTTAATGGTCAATCGTTGAAATTACCTGATGAGTGTGGTCATTTTCGACCATACGAAACAGAGCTGTCGTAATAAAACGATGAACTACCTCTGAAGTCTTGAACCAGTTTGTTATAATTATATATATATATATATA